AAAGTAATCAGGAAGGACTCCCGATCTGCTTAATCAAAGAAAAAACCAAATTGTAAATCAGCATATGCATGGTAATGCAGATCATTGGCAAAGTTTAAAATTATCGATGTCACGAGTAATCTAACTCAAAATAGACTAGAGCCTCCACATCTACACTACATCAGAAACCTTTTAGTGAAAATTTGAAGTCTCTAGCTATTGTAATTGCTGAGATCTCAGTCGGACAGTCAGCCAGCCAGCCATAACGAATATAATAGCGTATTTTTTTTCCAAAAATGCGCTATAGCAAAATAAAAAAGTAGTCGGTATTGGCAACAAAAGACCACAAATATTGGGTTTGAAATTATTTAGAGTAAACCAAAAAGACATCAACACAAAACCGAAGAATAGTAAGTAACTGATCTGATCTGTTCTGGTCCTCTGTATGTTTGGTCAAGAGAAATACTACTTTTACTTTGGCGACACTTCCATGTACATTGTACAATTGGGGCAAGGCACATAACCTTTGTCGAGTTTCTAACATTCTGTTGTATTATTTATTAGGTTAGCTTAGCTAGGATTACCCGAATATTTTACCATCTCCATTGATGTTAATAATCAATAAGCAATTAATCACCCATATTCAATATAAAATCCATTAAAATATTTGTGCGCCCATAAATGCGGAAGTCATTAAAATATAGGCTCCCATAAGGTTAAATACATATTCAAATCCTTTATCTATTAAAATGAAGCTATAAACAAAATTCATTCATTATACTCATTTGCTGAAAAAAAACCAATTAATAACGGTCGTGACGAACTCTTGACAAACCAGAACAGAGCCACATAAGTCTATATAATAAAACAGGTAGTCGATACATTCCCGTCTAGAACAAACTCTACTACTGCCACTAATGAAGTAGGAATATTTTCAATTACGTGCAATACCCATCTCTTTTTTCTAGATACGCGATGATAGCATTTTCTTTCTTTTTTTTACGTAGGAAAGATCCTTAGAGGTGAACTCAATTGTTTCAGTAGTAATCAGTAAACCGGACCGCGGGCATATATTTTACAGACGTTATCTATTTATTGCATTAAGAGCAAGACAGAAGTTTCTTGTAGCTATTCCCTATTGATCACGGTTAAAAAATTCAATGGTCAGCTTTAGCCTTATTATAAGGGACCGTGAAAACCAATAAAGAGTCCTGATTGGTTCGCTAGCAATTAACAAGTTTATTACATGAGATTATCGCATGACTTTATCTAAGTAATTCCAATGCTAATTGATTTTATGTGAGTAAGATGGTTTTTTTTCCTATACATCCACCGGATAGCACTTTTACGAAGTAGGCATGACAGCGGCTTCCTGAACCTTAACACTGCGCCCGGGGAAGCATAAAATCCTCTTGACAAATATCGGTAATTTTTACGATGGTAGTAAATGTTATTTTTTTTAACTAAGCGGCGGTATAAAAAATTCAAAATTTTTACATAAACAAATGATTACAATTTAATAATTTTATTGACATGTTTAAGAGCGTATGCCAAATAAAAAATTAAATTTATGCTTGGAATATTGGCTATAAAGTCGTAATGTTCTGGAACCATATCGGGTGGACATAGGTTTATGCATTATAGAAGTAGTTTTATAAAATTGTAATGTTTATACACGGTAATATTTTCAAGTACATAATATCCCGCAATTTTCAAAGAAGATTGTAAAATTCCAATAAATTTGATTTTCGATTTTAATTTTCTACAATCTTTTTGCTTTGTTATTAAGCGAAATATTACAACTAAGGCTATTAAGTTATAATTTCATATTTAACAGCTTACTCATATAGTCTTTTGCGAGATAAAACTAGAGGGGTATTTTATTTCCATTAAATATGTCAACTTTTATTTCTCTTTTCGATATATTGTGTCATTCTTACTGCAATAATTTGCAACGTAGGGGGTGAAGATATAAGTTATATACAAATTTGTCCAAGTTTGATTATCCAATTATGTTCCATGCGGTGGTGATACAATTTTATGCCTTCATTTTAGCACTCTTTATTTGCTTCATCAAAATCCAAGGTACCGAACTTATTTTTCATTGGACCGTAACCAATTATAGGAAATTCAATTTCGAAAACTTAAAACTTAGACCAACTTCACGAAATCACAAGAACAAAATTATTCCGAATACCAAACACACCCTTTTGTGTACCTATATATATTACCGTGTGTACGAGCAATCCATGGTCAAGTCAAAATATTGCTTTTCAGCTTTTGGTTAGTTAACGTAAGTGAATTATGATTCTTATTGACTATTAATTACGAATTAGTATCCGACTTGTCTGAGTGTCAGACGTTAGAATTGCTTTCGCTATATTTTATGTGCCGCGTACTCACTACCCCTCTTATTTGTTTGTTTGTGTTGTTCTCTGTTACAGAAAAAGCAGAACGCGCCCTTTGGAGCTCACAAGGTTGCAACCCGAAGTTCGAAGCTAATCTTTTTTATCTTCTACGACTCCTTGACACGTTTGATTAAATGATTTCTGGTTTTAGATACAATCGAATTGCAACTACTACATTTGTTTGATATTCAGTTAATAGCTCCCTTGTTTTCTGCGGAAGCCTGTTTTGATATTAATACTTCTTCCAACTACGTGTTGGCCTCTTTTTAATAAAAATTAATTTAAATTTAAATATTTGCATTGCACATCTATGTATTACACAGTGTCCTATTTGTAATATTTTAAAATCATTTATTAAATCACCCTCGATTTTCACTTAAATTATTGTATGTTCTATCCCTATCAATTATTTTATTTATTTTAGCTTGTCAAGACTAGAACGAGGATCTCTTAGTCTGCCTTTGGCCTTTTTGGCAAGTATTCTCTCCTCTCTTTTGAACCTTAAATTAAGTGACGCCTATCCGGTTTGGCTAGTGTACAGGAATCCCGATATTCACCCCGACCCACCTCTACTTTGCCTGAGCTTACCGTGTGTTTATTTTTTTTATTTGCTTTTATTTTTGAGTGGGCGGGGTTTCAGTCAAGACTGCTGTACCAACCCAACCTACTATACACTTACAAATATCCATGCCCGTACCCGGATTCGAACCAGGGACCCTTAACACCACAGTTCAACTTTATCTGAACTGCGCCACACGGGTCGGCTATCTCAAGGTAATTTTGTTACTTTTGCCCAGAATGAACGTAACACCTTCCTCATTGTAACTTTTTCTTCCATGACAGTATTTTTCGGATTATCACTAACTTTATTTTTTGAAATAAGAATGACATGTATTGGAATGAACAATCATCTGTTTCACTTTATCAACCTTTACGGTTAAAGAGCGGCTTAGCCTACTCATTGAAACCTATTAAAATTTCAATTTAACAAATGCTATAAAATAAAGTAGGTAACTAAAACCTGAATACATCACAAATAAATTCAAGACAGTTTGCAATGAATGCCCATCTTCCATAGCCACATTATTTTTGTGCGTGGGGAATAGTTTTTATGATCGTGAAGATCAGTGACGCAATAATTTAGTAAATTTTGAGTCAAGCTCTTTACTTAGAACGTGTGGTTTCAGCATGTGAATGCTGTAATCATCACATCGAGCGTTGAGTGCTGAACATTTCTATATCGTAACTGAGAATAATGGTGCGTTTATACAATCATTATAATTACTTCACTATCGTTAGATCATTGAGATTTGTTTTCAAAAATTAGTCTAAGAATATGTGTACCAAATTTCATTCCAATCGGTTCGGCCGTTTAGCCGGAAATGGGAGTACAACCGATACAAATCTTAAAATTTCTTTGGTAAGCACCTGTAAGATTTTTGGTCTCAATATTGATCGTGCACTAATTTGGCAAGAGCATAGCTCAGTTTTAACATCAAAACTAACAAAAGCGTTGTTTTCTCTTAGGCAATTAAAACGGATGTGCCGTCAAGAATCACTAAAAATGACATACTTCTCATATTTCGAATCTCATTTAAGATATGGTTTGTTATTTTGGGAAAATTCTAAATTTGTCATAAATATTTTCAAGTTGCAAAAGAGAGCCATTCGTGTTTTAGTTGGAGTAGGGCCTCTAGACTCGTGTCGCCCCCATTTTATGAAATTAAAAATACCAACTGTATATAACTTATTTATTTTCGAATGTGTAGTTGTAGTTTATGTACAGTGTAACCTTCACTTGTTTAAAATTAAACGTAACTCCGAGTTCCGACTATCATGCTTACAGTACAAGACATGCTCAACTTATTAGAATACCAATAGCTAAATCTTCAATTATTAATAATTCACATACAGTAATAGCTGTGAAGATATACAATTGCATTCCTCAGGGTAAACAGTCAATTATTTCACTTGGTATGTTTAAAAAAACGTTAAGAATGAGACTTAATTCCTTTGTTTCTTATTCTTTAAAGGAATTCTTTGATGTTTTCCAGGATTGAGTGAGTTTACGTAGTTTAGTATTTATTAATTTTTAACTATATATGTATATTTATATTTTCTTGTTGTTTGTTTATGCTTGTTAATGTTTGTAAATTTTTTGAAATATTCAACACCTCTCTGGTAAAGAATAAAAGTATCTATCTATCTATTTGTTTGATTCGGATTCCTGGTGGTTCAAAACGTGTATTTCCGTCAAAAAAGAGAGTACAAAGATGCTTATCGAAAATAGATAAAAAAGTTTCTGCGAAAACGTTTCAACTGATGATCGGACAATCCTCATTTCCTTCCCAAATGAATCGCCTTATTCTTATCAGATTCGACTTTTGGTTCTTGACAACGCGGAAAGAAAAGCAGGTCGATTTAACAATGTTTCCGGTGACCAATGGCAAGTCAAGTAAAATTTTATGCTACGTCGCCCCATGACGAAAACACTATTTTGAAAAAATAACAAAATTGCAATAAAAACAGTTAACCATACCAGATTTGATATACAAGTGTGCTGTATATTAAAGTAATAACAACATTATTGTTTATAAATAACCCAAAACTCACCCCCATTGCCTTGTAATATTATCACCAAAACAAATGAATCAACCGCACTTTTACACGTTTAACTCACAACTGGCATAAATTTTAATGTTATCGCAAATAGAGGTCAAATTTCTCCCCGGGCCTGACTTATCTCCACAAATGTACCTGTTTACCATTCTACAGTAAAATCGCATTTGAGCATTTGAAAACGGTGTGTTCGATTATAACGATAATAATTGTCTTATTATTATTCGTATAATTTAGTATTATCCATATGAAAAAGGTAATTGACGCAGTCTCACAGTATATAAGTAACAAAAGCTGTAAATTCAAATAAACGGACAAAAGCATATCAAGACAAAATTCTTCTAGATGTCGCGTCGTTTAAAATTTTCGGAAAAGAATCGAAAAAAGTACAAAAAAGTGACAAAATAGTAATTCTTGAAGTTCTTGGACAGATTTTGTGGATTGGTGTAATGTAAATATTAATTCAAATGAGGAAAGTTACCACAAACTTAAGAACCAACAAATCCCCTCTAGCTCTACGTGTCTCTCCAAATTTTGGACGTCACTTTTACCGCCTTGTTATTCAGCAAGTGTATATACTCGTAGTTGATAAGCACCATTTTTGTTTTAATGACCTTAACACTGGAAAGTTATACTTGAAGAAATCCAACTCACGTTACGTTTAAGAATGTTATATAACATATATAAAATAAAACAAACTATTAAAATATACATAATTTATACATATAAATAATACATATTATAAACCTTCAATCATTAACACTAACGATGTGTAGTAAAAGTGAGAGGCTCGTTCACATTATAGAAACAATTATTGAGTAGCAACATTTTTACTTTCCGCTTAAATATACATTTATTTTGAATAGTTTTCAGATCGCTTGGAAGCTTATTAAAGAAATTTACACCGACATGGTTTGCTGACTTAGTACTATTCTTAACCTTAAAATTTACAAAATCCCTATATTGTGTTATAAACTATGAATATCACAATTCCTCACAAGTTTGTTCTTATTTAAATGAATGTGACATAGTAACTTGAGGAGGTATACTCGTAGATGCTACGTTCAGTATTTTTTTACGTTTGAAGGTTTCACGAACCGATGTTCTCTCAAAATTATCACTAATTTTATTGACCATGTCAGTTGATAGATATTGGCTATATGCTGCAGCCACATCATTCGAACATGTTAAAGTTTTATTCCTATAATTTATTTCTTTTATTTTGGTATGGTTTATTTACATATGACTTTGTTAACTAAGCTCCAGCTGCTAGTTTTATTTTTATTAGAGGAATTGTTGATTAAATTTTTGAGTGATTTTTCTTTTCCAATATTATCTGTTGTTTTATTTCTCTTTTTAGGGGTTGGCATCGTTTAATAAGATTCCCATCGTATATTCTTTTACTTAACCAATTTAAATTCTGCAAAAGTTTTCTTTTATACAAATCTTGTTTCCTCGGACCAAGGCCCATAACACAGCTACTGGTATTCAATTCATAGCGAAACATTCATGCGGGACAACAAGAAACCAACAATTTTGGAAGCAGAGTCAGTTACAGTTACCTCCTCGCCTTTGCTTCATTCGTTGGGGTAATGAAGAATTTCCAATGCTTCCAAAATTTCAGCTTTGAATTGGTGGAAATTGTCGAGCAACCATGCGCAACTTTTCTGATGAAGAAATCAACTAATTAACTAATAAATGCCCAAGTAGTATCGTTAAACAAACATCTGCATTTTGACTTGTAAAAAAGGTTACACTCCTTGCTACGTTTATAGTTCTGCATACTTACTCATAAATGGATGATTAACAATAATTACAAACACAGGATGTTAATTATTATATTTAATAAGCAAGTATAAATCACGGATGCAATCAAACGGAACAATTTTCTTACTACTTTTTACACTTAATACCATTTACAACTGGTATTGCGTTTTAAATTGTCTTCAATGCGATGCATTCTTATTTTATTAAATCGTCGTTATCCGATCATTAATTTATACTTTATCTTAAAATGGAATTGTTTTCGCAATCTAATTTCCACATCTTTAGCGGTTGTGTTTCGCATTGTAAGATCGCATAAATCGAAGAAGAAAAGTTTAAAAACTCATCGTATGAATGAGCTTAAAGATTATCGAAGGCTAATAAAAGATATTCACGCAAGTTTCAATTAAGAGCTTAATCTGTCTGATACTGGCTTGTACTATGTAAATTAGAACTTGTAGGATGCAAGATTTATACGTATTTTATTTTGTCCAACTATCCATTAGTCGGAAAGTTTGCCGTTTCGCTATTGCCCAAAAGTAGTGTACAGCGGACGTTTTAATCGCACATGAAATTATTTAGATATTTCGTTTTATCGGTAGCGATGCATTTAACAACGGTTAAAGGTAGTTTAGAATTTCATCAATAATAAATTAAACCGGATTGTTCGCGGGGACTTCTTGAGTAAGATGTAAACTGTATCAGAATGGCTGCATAATCAAACAGCGGCCACTGCTTTATTTCGAATGTCAATGTCTACTTCTTTATGACGCCAACCGACGCATAATCTGCACTCAGTTCTCAGGAACTGTCTGCACGCCCGCAGTGATAAATAAACTCTGAAGTTGAACGTTGCATACTGAATATCATCAATGATATTTAATATTCAGAATTCACATGTGAATTTATATCCATATGCACCCCTTTATTGATGCTATTCACGATACCTATTAAAGAAATCGCTATTCCCCCACGCATATGTGGCTGTAGCATATGCTTTCGTCTTCCCTGTTTACTTTTTCCTAAATGCAAAGCGCAAATTATACACTATAATTAAATACTAACAGCAGAACAAAGAATGCCAACTTTTTTGATTTTTGAATTGAACCAACAGAAACTGTTTGCTTTAAACTCTTTTCTTTAGCTTGACCAATGATCACTTTTCCATGTTTCCTTGTTGTTCTTTGTTGTTCTCAGTGTTTGAAAGTTAAGGGACATTATCAGCTAAAATGGGAATAACATTTGTTTAGGTTGGGAGGGGGGCGGTTTTTTGGTCCAAAATTTGACGGTTCTTTTCGATATCTACATTTTCAGAGTTTGTGCGTCCCATCCCTCAAGAGTTAATGTGTCAAAATAGAAAACAAACCAGAAACAATTTAAAAAAGTGCAAACTTCAAAACAAAGAATGGTTTTATCTGCTCTAAATGATTTTATTGATTCACCAATGCGATGCACCTATTAAAAAAATTTTGATGTGATTTCATGTGTCAAGTCTGTATCAGTAAAACATATTAACTAAAGGTATATAAATACATTTTCACTTCCTTGTTTCTGTGACCCTGATACTACAACATTTTAAAGAAAAATTTATATCAGAGGAACAGAATATGTGAAAAGTCATCAATTTTAATGTCCCAATGTTTTTCTTGTGTCTTTTGATAATGCTGATCTTATACTGATACAACTAAATTAAAAAGTGAGAAATTTTACACCATTTTGCTTTTGGTTACCTTGACACCGTGTTTCTAATATTGCACCTTTTAGAAGAGATATCTGTATCAAGGGAAATTAAAGCCTAAAATGGCACCCTTTTCGCACCTTCTTGAGTTTATGTGATCCCGATATAACACACATGTGTTTGTCAACAAACATTGCATCTTCTTGCGTTTGTGTCCGTGCGTCCGTAGCATTCGCTCCTGTGAAATGAAGTCGCGGATTATTCACCCCCAAAAAATGCAGTAATTCCTAATAAATTCTCCAAGAAACGTCCGAAATACTGGAACTTTTCGAAAACGCGCTGTATAGACAAATTCATCTAGGTATTGGCCTTCCTGAGTGTGAATTTTTGTTACTGCGAATTATTTGGAGAGGGGACACGGGATCATTTTTTTGTGGGGCAGCTTTCGTGTACTCATTTTTTGTGTGGATTCTATAGGAATACCAATAAACGATTGAACTATTTAGGCAAATATTAAGGTGCGAAGACTCCCAAATATTCGCTCCTGTAAAATGAACTCTCGAATTATTCGCCCCCAGAAAGGTTATATCCAGAATATTTTATGCCTAAGAATTTTGGAATACTGGCATCCAGGAAAATTCGTTGTCGACTAATTCATAGCGGTGTAACGGTAACTCGCTTTGCAGTTTTTCAAATTTCATTTAAGTATAGGAAAATTTACATATGTACCGCTTCATACGAAATGTGAACGCGAATTCGGCGCAGCGATAAAAACGATTTAGAACGTGTGAGCTGACTTCGATAACCGCTAAACTCGGCTTTTGCGTTGGTTATCTAGAGCAGCCCAGATAACGAAAATGCATGCTATTGCTTACTACGGCACGCCGTCGTGGCATTTGCTTTGATTCCGTTTCGTTTTTTTTGCAGGGCCACTACTAGAAAATTAGAAAGCGAAAAGAGGGAGTTCCAGCTTACCTTTGACCTCCGTTCAATTTTACGATTGCTCAATTTCGACCGCGCGGTTTTAAGGGAGATCTCCACAATCAATCGGCCGTGCTAATTTTTTTTAATTGCGAAACAATTTTAAATTGTCTATGAATCTGAACTGTAGTACGGGCCTAGTTAAACTCGTGCATAATTGTCGGAAGTAAAATATGGAACGCAATGGCAGGGACAGTCCTAGACAAAAAAAATTGGGAGGGGGGGGGGGCAGACATGACATTTTACCAACTCAACTGTAAAAATTTCCAACTATATTAAGTTTTAAGTGGTATTTCCAAGTCTAATAAATCATGTAGAAAATGTAGGATATCAGTATACGGTCTCTAATACTAATTAAAAGCATTACCAAAATACCAACCTTGTGTTAAAGAAGAAGGAAGTGACTTTCCTATTAAAGAGTCCTTTTTTTATAGATTTTGCCGCAATTCCTCATTCCTTCAAAAGTCGATTTATTACATTTACGATTTACCTACTTTCGCGGCATTCGCCAACTGGTAATGAAAATTACCAACTTTTGTCAAAATTGCCAACTAGTTAAGTATTGGAGGGGCAGCCAGCCCCCCCCCTTGCCCCGTCGCTGCGCAATGGGGGTTTATAGTAGAGTTGAATTCCGTAGTTCTAATTTAATAAGCGTGTACCTGAAGCCATAAAACATTTTTTTGGACAGTAAAAGTTTATTTAAAAATAGAGGCTGATTAGCAAAAAATAATGAACATGT